TATATATAGAAACATCCCCCCCCGGTTCGGCGATAACTCTAGCACATCAACATGGACCGATCGACACCAACCCCACCACCCACTCCCCCCTCCAAATTGAACCGATTTAGATGAACCAGTTGGTTCAACCCCTTTGGGGAGCCCCATGTCAGTCTTCTGAGATTGGGGGAGCTTAGATCGTCGAAGCTTCTGTCTATTGGTGATGGAACTGTTGTAATCTCTCGGGTCTAAAGGCTTCTGGACCGCTGTCTGAGAAGCATTTGGATCTCACTAGTGACTGCACTGCCCCCCAAGGCCCCTAAGGATCTGTCCTCAATTGCAAGCAAACATCAATATCGATCCAATCTTTTGAAAGCTCACTATTGATCTTGCTTGGGCTTGAATCTCCCCTAATGGTGGCGGCCATAGCGGTAAAATTTGACTGTTATGTCCTGAAATGCTGTCTATTGTGCTATCCCATGTCTGGAATCAGTGTCTCAGTTCTATCATCTTCATCGTCATCAAAATTGGTTCCACTGATGCCGCTACGCTGGCTAGGGCACTTGTGATCTCATGCTCCTAAGAAGGGAAGACGCTGCAGTTCCTCTCTTTGTTGAGGTTGTAGGTATTTTTGAACCTGTTGTGCTGAGTCCTACAACAAAATTGCCACAGTCTCCCAAAAAAAAAAGTGATAGACATCCATAGATATCACGTCACACCACACTTGATTTTGCAGCTGGATCCCAATCGTAAACCCTACTAGTCACATCTGATCAATGCTGATCCTATTATTCTTATTCAATCACGTCAGAAAGTATGACTAGGAATGCCTCTGAGTCATGAGGCCCAATTTCTCCATTTGTGAAGACGCTACGTTTCTGCTGCTCCCTCCATCATGAGACTACATACATTTTCGTTCACAATACAACAGATGTAGAATATTTTGCGGTGAAGTCTCTGTTGATTCTTCGTATTCTCAGTCGTAGGACCTGTCGAACTAAGAGCATCTCGCCCTCATTCGGTGGAAGATGATACACCTCATCTTATTCTTTAGTTGCCTCCTCGTCGTTAACCTCCTCCACCGCGCCTTACTTGGTAAAAGGCACAACTTGGCTTGTCGGGCAGCTGGAGGGGCCCAAATTCATGGTATCTAAAGCATTTTTTTTGCTAGGATTGTAGAAAACATGCTACTCTTTTCGAGCTTTTTCTCACTCAGGGTGGCTCTAACGTCATCCTAACTAATTTTTTCAACTCTCTGAGGCATGCTCCTAATGATGTCTCCAACTGCGGGTGACTGCCTGAATGGTGGTGGTTGTCTGCTCTGTTTTTGTTGTCTCTCCACCTTCAGAGCTAATGCATGTACATCTCTCATTGACCAATAAGGCTGCAGTTGCACAATGCTGCTGATAACGGGATTTTGGTCCCCCAGGTATCAGGATATGGAATTTTTTCTGGGTCAACCAACTGACATCTATGTGCAACTAATCAAACTGCATCATGAACTCCTCCATTGATAGGTCCATCTACTGTAGGTGGTAGAGTCTCATAAACATGTCCTAATGATATTCAGGAGGCATACATTTTCTCTGCATCTCCTTATCTTCTCTCATCTAGTAAACTTGTTTCTACCTTATCTGTTTCTCTGTCTCTGAGTGTTTTCCCACCACAATGAGGCCTTTTTCTCAATTTGATGGCTGCAAGTTTCACCTTCATGTCTTATGGTACCTCTTTGTAGTCTAAGATCCTCTCAACTAATTGTAGTCATTCAATAAAGTTATCTGGATTCATATCTCAATCGAACTTTTGTAGATCCACTTTGATGTTAAAATCCCTGTACTCTCCATATGTAGCCTCCTTTGATATTGAATTTCAAAGCTTTGGGGTTTGTTTTCCTCATCATTGAAGTTATCCCTATGGAAGATATTCAGGTCCTCATCACTTTCTCCCCTTCAACTCTCAATGTTGCGCTCGAGGGTAATTTCCTCCTGAGTTCCACCATCAATCTCTGCAAGCCTCTGCCGAATGTGACGAAGCTCTCGCTATTTCTCTTCCCGGGTAGATTGGCCTATAATTCCTTGATGGCATGGTTAGGGTTTAGGATTTGTGGGAGTAGAAATGTTAGTTGGTGGATAGAATGAATTTTTGTTAGAGATGGTTTGGGTATGGCAGATGTTAGGAAGTCCTAAGATAAGACTAGGGTTAAGCTAGTTTTGATACCAATTGATACCGAAGTCAACTGAAATAGAAATGCAAATATTTTTGATGAAATTCAAAAAATATTACAGTAAAACTCTTGGCAATAAGAAAACAATAACACAAAAAATCAGAGTCTTCATAGGGCGAGTAGGAAATTAGTGGGTTGCGGCTTCGTTAGTGGAAGCAGGGGATTGGAGGTTGTAGGGGTGCGGTTGGACAATGAATACAGGTGGTTGGCGGCAAAAGAGGTTGGACAACAATCAACAAGTGGTTGGAGGTAATTTGGTGCAGGGAGGAGTAGGACATGCTGTGTACTAAAAGTGGTTGGAGGTAATGGGGGGGCAAGCAGATGGAGGGCTGCTTGGGACCGGTGACAATGAGTGAAATGGTTGGGTAAGGATAAATATCCCCAAGAGATCGAGCTACAGTTGGAGCACTACTCGTACCCTTGGAGAGGATCATCATCTCGGACGAGTTTCAGCTAGATCTTCTTCTCGTCTTCGAATACAACCCTAGAAATGGAAAATGGGGTGTCGGCGGCTGTCCGAACAACAATCTCAACAAAAACTAACCCTAAAACAAAAAAAAAATAACACACACACACACACACAGATATATATATATATTATATATATAGTTGATAACTTGGATGGGGAGGCCCCTTCCCTTCGACGTCAAACCTAACCCATCAACACGGATCAGTCTTTCCTGCTCCCCTTTGTCTGGACCAGTTCAAATGAACCAGCCGGTTTAGCCCTCCTTAGGGAGCTCTGTGCCAGTTAATAAGTATTATTGAATGTTTTGGATAATGTAGTGGGATATCATTCATGTAGGCTAATTTTAAAGTACTTGTATATTTTCTAGTGAAAGCACTATATATATATATATATATATATATATTCATTCATATTTTCCTCTTGAAATTACATATAGTATGTATGTATGTATGTATGATGGCCAAATAACTTAAAGATTAGTTGTGATGAAACATATTCTCTTAGATTTAATCAAATAAATCTGATTCATGTATTCCAATTGTTTTAAGATTGAGTGAGTTCTACTACAAATAGATTATGTTTGAATTTCAACTTTTTTTTTAAATAAACATTATTGATCAATCCATGATTATTTTGATGCAACTTGATCTTTGTTACAAGGCGACACTCAATTTTGAGAGATTTTCATATCTAACACCTAAACTCTTATTTACACACGCGTCACTTTATATGTGCATGTACATGTGAATTTCGCTCTTTAAAAGTTAAAATAGTAGCCTTTTTTTATGTAATATGAATGATTTAGGTGGTATAAATGTAAAAGTAAAATTAAGTGTTGCCTATGTAAATGCATAAGAATTAGGTGTTATGTATGTAAATGCCCCCAAAATATTTTATTGAACTCGTTGCGTTGATATGCTGATTTGATAGCTGACTTTTTTTATGGGCATTTACTTGCATATAACTCAATTTCTATTTGTTTACATATCTAACACCTGAACTTTATTTTTTACATTTATACCCCCAAATCTTTCACATCACCACAAAAATACCACCATTTGAACTTTTAAAAAGTGACATGCACCCTTTCATGCATAAATAAGGCGGTGTATATGTAGAAAATGAAGTTTATGTGTATGTATTTGTGTTTTATATATATATATATATATTATTTTGTGAAATTAACTTTTATGCATTGGCAGAGGCTGGAAGTTGCGTGATTTTCTAGAAGCCCTTCCTCGAGAATGGATATCCGAAGATTTGATGGAAACGCTCGCAAGTAAAGGAGTTCATCTATCCCCAACCATGTAAGCAGAACACTTGTAATTTACACATCTCACACGTAAAATTTCATATTTACGTACATAACACTCTTAATTTTTAATATCACATCAAATATCACACTATTTGCGCTTTTTAAAAGTGAAATACACGTTTTCATGCATATGCTTAAAGCACGAATGTGTTATATATCTAAATATGAAAGTTTAGGTGTGAGATATGTAAACACACCGCTCAATTCTTGTCTTTACGCATCTAACTTAGGTGGTACAAATGTAAAAAAAAGTAAAGTTTAAGTGTTAGATTTGTAAATACATAAGAATTGTGTGCTAGGTACCTAAAGTTCAATTTTTACATGCACGTAATCTTACCTAGGCCTGAGAAGGTGTATTTTACATTTTAAAAATTAAAATGGTGATATTTTTGATATGATACAAAAGATTTGGTGGTCTAAATGTAAAAAAAAAAAAAGGTAAATTTTAAGATTTAGATATGTAAATATGTAGGAATTGGGTGGTATATATGTAAATGTTTGTTTATTTAAACTAACATATTTATCTGCATTGTTTAGATATGAAGTTGGAGATTGGTTGAAGTTTCGGCGAAGTCTTACCGCACCTAAATACGGGTGGCAAGGAGCGAAGCACAAGAGCGTGGGATTCGTCCAGTCTGTGCTCGACCACGATAACCTAATTGTTTCATTTTGCTCTGGAGAGGCCCATGTCTTGAAGGACGAGGTTATAAAAATCATCCCTTTAAACCGGGGCCAGCACGTACAACTTAAACCCGATGTGGTCGAGCCGAGGTATTGAATTAAGCGAATCTTAACTATATACTACGAACTTTTATGTATTTACATATCTAACCACTAAAGTTTGATATTTATATTTATAATATTTTGCTGTTATAAACCTTTGCATTTTGAAAAGATGGATTTTACTTCTAAAAAGATTTGAGTGTTATGCATGTTAACATGGAAAGCCTAGTTGGTAGATATATAAATATGTTAAGAATTGCGTGGTATTTATGTAAATGTTCTTGGAAGATTTACATATATGTACCTGTAATTTTTATGTATTTGCATGTCTAACACCTAAACTTCAATCTTTAGATTCCTATCACCTTAGCTGTGTCAAAAGATGTATTTCACGTTTAAGAAGTTGAAATGATTGTGTTTTTGATGTGATATAAAAGATTTGGGCGGCGTGAATGTAGAAAGTAAAAGTTTAGGTGTTAGATATGTAAATGCATAGGAAGTTGTTTGTATGTATGTAAATTCCCCAAATATTGGAGGATTTACGCACTTACGACTCAATTCCTATGTATTTACATATCTTCTAACACCTCAATTTAAATTTTTACATATTTACCACATTGTCTTTGCATGAAAAGGTGTTGGGTGGTATAAATTTAAATCGAAAAGGTGTTGGGTGGTATAAATTTAAATCGAAAAGTTTAGTTGTTAGATAAGTAAATACATCCCCTAAGTATTATGCGGGAATTGAAGATGATAGACATTGATTTCTGGTTAAATACAGGTTTGGTTGGCGTCGTCAATCTCGTGATAGCATCGGAACTGTTCTCTGCGTGGATGATGATGGAATTCTTCGAGTTGGCTTCCCCGGAGCCTCCAGGGGATGGAGAGCTGATCCCGCCGAAATGGAGAGGGTTGAAGAGTTTAAGGTCGGTGACTGGGTGCGTATTCGTCCCTCGCTAACAGCCGCCATTCATGGCTTAGAAGCTGTAACTCCGGGGAGTATCGGAATAGTCTACTCAATCAGGCCAGATTGCAGCCTTTTGCTGGGTCTTTGTTACTTGCCTAGTCCGTGGCATTGCGAACCGGAGGAAGTAGAGCCCGTTGAACCATTCAGGGTACTGAGATATCTCTCCACTTTTGTTTGATCGAGGGTATTCTCGTTGGTCTTCTTCAATTATATTATTTCCTGCTTTTATTATTATTGTTCGTAGATCGGTGATCAAGTATGCGTGAAGAGATCTGTTGCAGAACCTAGATATGCTTGGGGCGGCGAGACTCATCACAGCGTCGGTAAAATCACCGATATTGAGAGCGATGGTTTGCTCATCATCGACATTCCGAATCGTTCGAGTCCTTGGCAAGCTGATCCTTCCGACATGGAGAAGGTGGAGAGTTTCAAGGTACAGTGGTTTGTTTTCATTCATTAACAAATATTACGTGCAGCATCAGCATCTGCGGATCGTTGATATTTGTAGTTGCATTCTTCCGAATATCACCAAAATACGACCAATCCGCATGTAACTTATCTGCACATAATATTTTTATCATAAAAAGGGATTAACACTTATTTGACTAATCGAAGATGCTCGGTACTGATTAGGTGGGGAATTGGGTGAGAGTAAAGGCCTCGGTGCCTTCTCCGAAGTACGGTTGGGAAGATGTTTCTCGTAACAGCATCGGGATAATCCACAGCCTCGAGGACGACGGCGATCTGGGCGTCGCCTTCTGCTTTAGAAGCAAACCTTTCTGTTGTTCGGTTGCGGACATGGAGAAGGTGCCTCCATTTGAAATAGGGCAGAAGATCCATATTATGCCTAACATATCCCAACCAAAACTTGGCTGGTCTAATGAAACTGCGGCTACAATTGGGAAGATTTCAAGAGTGGACATGGATGGAACCCTAAATGTGAGTCTTCTTGAACAATAGACTTCGGTGATGTCTAGCAACATATGAGATTTAACTTACTAGGATCTAGTAAATCCTGAAAATCCGAATTTTCTAAATCCTGAATGGGTTAAATCTGCAAAGGATTTACTAAATCCTGTAAATCCAACGAAACAGTTTGGCAATTTTGGTCAAGATTTAAAAATCGGCGAAGCTGTTACCGAGCTGCGCCTTAAATTTGAAGGGCGCGAAATTAAATCCACCAATTCGTAGGATTTACTGCATCTCATGATTTATTGTCTAAAAAGACTCTGGCAAGATTTTGCTTAATTCCCACCTAAATCCCACCATAAATCCGATGCCAGAAAGCTCCCTTAGATCAAATTGGAAAGTATTTAACTCTTTTGATATGATTTGCAGGTTAGGGTTGCTGGAAGGAGCAATCTGTGGAAGGTTGCTCCCGGCGATGCCGAGCGGCTTTCCGGCTTCGAGGTTGGAGATTGGGTTCGGCTGAAGCCAAGTCTAGGATCAAGACCTTCATATGACTGGAATAGTATAGGGAAGGACAGCATAGCTGTGGTTCATAGCATACAGGATTCTGGATATCTGGAGCTCGCGGGCTGTTTCAGGAAAGGAAAATGTGTGGCGCATTACATGGATGTCGAGAAGGTCTCGTGTTTGAAAGTTGGAGATTACGTCCGATTTCGCGTCGGAATTGCCGAGCCTCGATGGGGCTGGAGAGGCGCTTCTCGTGAGTCCGCCGGAATCATTACCGGCGTTCATGCAGACGGTGAAGTTAGGGTAGCCTTTTTCGGCATGGCTGGACTTTGGAAGGGAGACCCTGCAGACCTCGAGAAGGAGAATATATTCGAGGTTGGAGACTGGGTGAAGCTCAGAGACGATGCCGCTGTCTGGCGATCCTTGAAACCTGGAAGCACAGGCATCGTGCATGGATTAGAATACGAATCCGATATCTGGAACGGAAAAGTGCAGGTCTCCTTCTGCGGTGAGCAAGACCGGTGGGTCGGACCTTCGACCGAGCTCGAGAGATTTGATAAGCTCGTTGCAGGACAACGCGTGCGGATCATGAGATGCATCAAACAGCCGAGGTTTGGATGGTCAGGCCACAGCCACGCCAGCATCGGAACCATATCTTCCATCGATGCCGACGGAAAGCTTCGAATCTATACTCCGGCGGGATCGAAGGCGTGGATGATCGACCCGGCAGAGGTGGATCGAGTTGAGGAGGACGAAGTTTGCGTCGGCGACTGGGTGAGAGTGAGGGCGACCGTCACAACTCCGACTTATCAATGGGGGGATGTGAACCCGTCGAGCATCGGAGTCGTGCATCGGGCAGAGGATGCCGAGCTCTGGGTTTCTTTCTGCTTCTCGGAGCGGCTGTGGATCTGTAAGGAGCAAGAGGTGGAGAAGGTCAGAGCTTTCCGAGCGGGCGACAGGGTGAGGATTCGGCCTGGTTTGAAGACGCCGAGATGGGGGTGGGGAATGGAGACGTCGTCGAGCAGGGGCGAGGTGATGGGGGTGGATGCTAATGGTAAGTTGAGAATAAGATTCAGATGGAGGGATGGAAGATTGTGGATTGGTGATCCTGCTGATATAATTCTTGAAGAAGAAGAAGAAGACGACTTATCAGTTGCAAATCATAGCGGTAACTGCAGCTTGTAGCTTTCTTGTTGATTCTTTTGTTGTTCATCAGCTACTGTTTCTTTTTCTTTTCTTTTTTTTTTTTGTCTTTTAATTTCTATATTAATATTATGTTAATATTTTGACCGTTGGAGATGGTTTGGAGGGGTAGGATTGTGCAGATTGAAGCTGAGATAGCCGTTGGGGATTTGAATTAGTCTGTGCGGAGGATCGAAGGGGTTCGATTTGATGAATGTGGTATTCTGTGGTTTGTATTTATTATGTGTTTTAACTACACGAGTTAATTAACATTTGGACTGAATGATTATGTATATGCAATAACAACTTTATTTCTGTGATTTTTGTTTATTTGTTCATGATCTTTTTTTACTTTTTGGCATAATTACATGCAGACCATCTGAAATATTGATATTTGCAAATTAGTCGTAGGTGATTTTTTTTAGCTGCGGCATGTATTTGTGTGGCATCATCAAAATGTTTTGAGAATTTGGTAAAAATGAAAGATATGTGTTGAGGTTTTACCTTGAATTTTGATTTTGAGTGAGAATTTGAAGAATGGATTAAAGAGGGTGGTTGATTTGTAAATAGTAAGTTTCGGATGATTTGTATGTAGAATTGCCCCTTTTTTTGTTGAAATTTAGATCTCTCTCTCCCCATCCCCTACCACTCCATGGGAAAATATTTGCGTACTGAAGACATACAGTACGTACGTCGGATGTTATTCAGAGGGTATAGCCTGTAACTTACATGTACTTATCGGAACTAAAGAAGCGCAAAACTTATTTGTAGGTTGCGGGTAGATTATATGTAGGTTACATAAAGATTATAGGGGTTATAACGCAGATATAACCCTCTATATCCTCTGAATAACCTCTTGAAATACGCAGCGCTGCACGCAAATATTTTCCCTCTATGAGCTAGGGCTAATAAAATTTGGGACGATTTACATACATGCCACTCCATTCATATTTATTTATGATATAAATTGTTTAAAATAATTGTTTAAATGTTTTAAATATTTTTAAAAATACAAAAAAACATGCAAAAAAAATCATCAAACAAATATTTTTAAAATAATAATAATAACGTTCTTAAACATGAATGAGATATTACTTCTAAAAAATTAATAATAGTGACATTTTTATTGTGATGTTAATGATTTTCATGTTCTAGAAATGAACATTAAAATTTAGATACTATATATATAAACATGTGTAAGATTTATGTGGTATGGATGTAAAGGACCCTACTGAATTGTATTAGGAAGAGTTTGGCATGAGTATTGCATGCCACGTAATTACTATGTATTTACATTTTTAACACTAAAGTTTCAATTTTTACACACATCGCTCTATGCATGAGAAGTTATTTCATTTCGTAAATATTTTAAAAGTTAAAATGATGATAGTTTTAATGTGGGGTTTGTTTAGGGCAACTTATTTGATGCGGTGGCTTTTTGAAAATGCACATGACCTGTTTGGGTAAACTGTGTTTTGACAACTTCTGTTTTTTCAAAACGCAGAAAACAACATTTTCACACCGCACATGTCTAGGTGCAGTGACAGCTTGCTGGCTGCGGTCTAGTTTTTCCCAAAAAATAAAAAAAATTGTAATAGCTACCGCACCCAGCTTATCAACATATTATTCAATAAGCTGCAGCTGCCCCAAACAGAGAAAAAATTTGCGTAAGTCAAGGGGTACGCAGAGATGCGTACATAATAGGGTACACTGGCGTTATATGAGATTACATGGAGGTTACAAGCATGTTATAACTTCCTTGTAACTTTCGTGCAACTCAGCTGTAACCCGCGCTTTTATTTTATCCATTGAGATTACAAGGTTACAGCGGTGTTACACGGGAGATACAACGGGTTATAACCCCCTTGTAATCCCCGTATAAACCCCATGTACTCTATTATGTACGCATCTCTGCGTACCCCTTGATGTACGCAATTTTTTTCCCCCAAACAGACCCGTGATATGAAAGATTTGGAAGGTATAAATGTAAAAAAAACCCAATTTTAGGTGTAAGATAAGAAAATACACATGAATTGGCTAGAAGCATTCTTCTATATATGTATAAGTTTGCATGTATGTAAATGCTTCTATGTGAAAACATTAAAAAATTAAAAAGAATTACATACACACCATTCAATTCTAATGTAGTTGGCATGTCTACACCTAAAGTTTAATTTTTACATACACTCAACCTTTATGTATGCATGGAAATATATATTTTACTATTTAAGAGCTAAATTTTAGATATATTTATGTAATTACATAGGAATTGGGTGGTATGAATGTAAATACACAAAAACAAAAGGATCATTCAGTCAAACCAATCAATCTCTTTGAAAGAAACAGACTAATCCACACAAACAGCTTATATTTCAACCAAAAATTTAAAAAGGGAGGCAAATTACATAACAGTCTACCCAAAACTTGCTATTTACAAATCAACCACCATCTTTCATCCATTTTTCAAATCCTCATTCAAAATTCAAAATTCATGATTCATTTTTACCGCATTCTCGATGATTTGAGCGTGGCATGGGTAAATACATCGGTTCGGTGGATAAAAAAAAATCATCCGGAGGGTTAATTTGTAAATATTAATTTTTCGGGGGGTTCTATATGTAATTATCCCTTGATTTTTTTCACCTCCCAAGTAAAATAACTCGATCTTTCTGAACAGCTTGAGAAAGATGGATGTCAAAGAGCTCACATCGGATAGGCATCTCCATCTCATAGAAAGGATTCTTCAGCACAAAATCTGTGTATAGCTCATAAATGACTTTCAGCAGCCCTTCCATATGCTGAGCTCCAGTTTCACAAACCACAAAAAATTTGGTTCCTGCAACAAAAGTAGAAATAGAACATTAATTTGCATTAAATTCATGCAGTAGATGATTAATTAATCAAAATTTATATTACATTTATCTTGAAAGAGATTTGATGGCTGTGAGTAGGGGTGTAAACGAGGCGAGTTTGCGCGGGCCCAAATTTTGTTCGTGTTTGACTCGTTTATATATCGAGCTCAAAAAATCTGTTTGTGTTCGGCTTGTTTGCTTAAAGAGTTGTCCGCGAACAAGTCATTTTGATAACCTTTGTAGCCTTGTAGCTAATTAAATTATTTAAAAACAATACTCATTAATCCGAACACGAACGAACAAAACATTGTTTGTGCTCGGCTTGGCTCATTTGCTTAGTGAACGAATTGAACAAAAGCTACTTAATAAGTTGAACGCGAGTTGTTCGTGAACAAAGAGCCATTTTGACAGCCCTAGCTATGAGTCCATCCCCGCTAAAAATTTTCGTAGATTTACATGCATACTGCATAATTCTCATGTATTTACATGTTTCATACATACATTTTAATATGTACACATAAAACAATCAAATAATTCATATCACATCAAAAAATTACACATATTAAATTTTCTAAAGTAAAACATACATTTACATGCATATGCTTTAATGCGACTGTAACACTAAGATATTATATAAGTAAATATCAAATTATTGGGGTGAAATATACAAATACGTATAAATTATGGGGTATATATGTAAAGCACTCTATTTTTCTTTATGATTTTGGCAAAAAAATAGGAAGAGAGGAGATAACATCAATAAAATGCATTTCAAGCTTATTTCACCTATGAGAAAATGTATTTTGCAGTTCTATCCATTTTTTGGAACCTGAGATTTCACTGTTTATGCAATTTTTCTACACTAAACAATTATTTTGTAAGTTTCCTTCACATAGCTGTTGTTTTTGGGGTGTTTATTTAAGTAATTTCGCTTCCATGTTGTTTTCGATTGACTATGATGTTAAGATTATATGAACTCAAGTATTCTTTATTGTAATTTAGGGGCATTGACATATATACCACGGTACCACCCAATTCCTATGTATTTACATATCTAACACCTAAACTCTACTTTTTACATTTATATAGCCAAAATCTTTCATATCACATAAAAAAAACCACTACTTTAACTTTTAACAAGTAAAATACAAGTTTCATGCACAGATAAGGCGGCATATTTGTAAAAACTGAAGTCTAAGTGTTAGATATGTAAACACACAAGAATTAAGCGGTATGTATGTAAATTTTCCTTTCAATTTATTTATGTAGTTGGAAGACGGCGAAAGTTCATATTTTAGATCATCTTGCCAAGAAACAAATGCAAAAGATGTAACAAATGGTATCCTAAATCGGGTGCGTCTCATTTCACACATCAGGATGGTCATGAGAGTTGTAATCATGTGTTAAGATAACTAATTGAACGATACCCAATACAAAACCTCCCCGAAATTCGATGCAACATGATTCCATAAAATGTTTCATGCATCTAAACTTTATTTTTATTGATATTTTATGTTGGACTATAAAGCAAATATGGTTGGCTAGAGAATAGTAAAACCAGGAGCATATTGCAATCAAAATTGTTCAACTAGAGCAATAACTAACATATTTCAATGTTATAGCAATGACATATGACATCAATTTAAAGTTGGCCTTTGATAACTTTTTCACATATCAACATATATGATCACTTCAATGGATCCTACATTTAGGAAGATGCTAGTTATTCTGGATGCATTTCATACGTTACGGTATGTATGATTCATTCAATAATTTTGTCGAATAATTTTCATGTGCTAATTCGAAATTCCGAACCTTTATTATAGGATCGTGTTGATAATATTGACAATTGATACTTTAATACATATCCTATAATTGATATTAGGTTGAACTTTTGATAAAAAAAAGCTGTTATTTAGTGAAATATTCAATGCAAAGAGGCTGCATAAAGCTACAGAGAGAAAATGAATCACCCAAATTGTCTTGAATCATACATAGGTTTATTAGCAAGTAGCGACATTAAGAGGATGGTTGGTGAATGAAAATAAAAAAGGACTTATATTAACGAATATGTCAAACTTTACATTTAAGAAGCGCAAAATCATAGATATTGCTATGATAATATGGAAATCACAGATATTGGTATGATTTAGAAGTGCAATGAAAAAAAAAATTGTCTAAATGAGTTTGAAGACTATGATGATGAGTATATTGTGGATGGATAGGGGGCAAAAGGATGAAAGAAGATCTTCAGATATTTTCGAATCAACAAATACATTACAAATTTCGCTAGATTAGCCATAACATACTCTTCAAATGATGTTATTTGTTATTAGAGCATTGTAGACATAAAAGAAGGCATACAATCTTCATAAGAATTACTATGTCCGTCATTCAAGTGATGTTGCCTGTACAAAGCATAGTAGAGAGAATATTACGAAAGGAATCAAGTCTAATATGTGCATTTTATTGAGTTTTGTTATTGAAAAATTAATGTATGCTTTTATTGTATATGTTCACTTGAACATGTTACTAAAATGGTACAACTAATTTATTTTGGGGCATTTACACACATACCATACAATTCTTATGTATTTAGATATCTAACACCTAAACATAGCAAAACATAAAAAATATCATATCACTATTTTATTAGAAGTGAAATAAACCTTTCATGCTTGGGTGTTTATGACACCAAGGGGTTATAAGTTTAAATATCAAACTTTGGGCGTTAGATATTTATATACATAATAATGGTGTGGTATGAATGTAAGTTTCTTTTTTACTTTTCTAGCAACAAACTTTCATCACAACTTTTCTAATAACATCATTTAACTTAACTTCAAAAAGCAACAATTAGCCACAACAAATGAAGCCTTAGGGTCCGTTTAGGGCGGCGGTGCGGTGGCGCACCGCAGCTTTGTCTGTTTGGGTAAACTGTGCTTTGACAGTTTTTTAAAAAACTGCCGCTGAAATCTGCATTTTACCACCACTTCTGGCTAGGTACGACGACAGCTTTCTCGTTGCGGTCTGACTTTAAAAAAATTTTAATAACCACTGCAATTTTTTTAGCGTCAGATTATTATTCAGCAGATTTACAGCTGCTAACAAACCCTTAATCACAAATAACCAGCTCAAGGAATTAAATCCTTGAGTTAGAAAAGGGAGAATCTATTACTCCTTTTACTAAAGAGTGAGGGACCTAAATTTAATTAAAGCAACAACTCAGTCTCTGATTGAAATCAAACACTACATGCATTGTTTCATAACGCTTTTAATCACATACCACCATGATAAATAGAGAAAATGTCAATTTGAACGAACTTCAAATAGAAGAAAGTGATCACATGAGCAATTAGACACCATATTAAAGAATTAAAGAGCTAGCAACCATGAACCGGATATTGAAAATTTCAATAAGATTCCATTCTCGATCAAATTTCAATTTTCAATTCTTTCATCCATTCCATGATCGAAATAAAGAGGAATGCTCATCATGCCACACTTCTTCTGAATCAAAAGAGAGATTCCCAAAAATGACAGATCTATTCACTCTATCTATAACTGAGCCGTATATGATATTTCATATGAGATTTATCTTTTCTATTGATTTCTATGGGTTGGCCGAAAATAATTACTTAAATGAAGTATTGAACTCTGACGATGAAATTAAAAAAACAAAAAATCTTTATTGGTTCCACCTCTTATTTTTAATGAAGAGAAGTAACCTTATGTTTTCACATATCTAACATTAGAACATCGCTTTTTATATTCACACCACCCAAATCTTTCCTATCGCATAAAAATACCACTATTTTAAGGTGGCATATATGTAAGATTTCAAGTTTAGGTGTTAGATATGTAAATTCATAAGAATTGAGTTGTATGCATGTAAATCATATCCGCTCGAATGAGTTGGAAGATCCCAAACTAAAAAACAACGATGTGTGCATCAACATAGAAATATAAATGCTTAGGATTTAGATATGCAAATACATAAAATTTGCGCTACGTAAATTTCTCAAAAAAAAAATCTATAAAGCATAACGGGTTAAGAAAATTCAGAAAAAAAAATTGTTAGAAATTCACAGATTAAGTTAAAAATGAAAAAGATCGTACATCCCAGAAATCAAACCACCAATTCAAGCAAAATTTAGCTCAAAAAACACAGTAACCAGCACTGAAATCAGTGAAACTGATAATCCACCGCATCAGTTTCGACGCAGGTAGGATTGGTACCTGTGAGCGACTGGAAGCAGTGGAGATCAAAGTTATCGGCCTGCAGAAGCTCAATGCCTTGGCATCCCACGGTAGGGGAAAGCTGCTGTGAGATGGCGTGCATCGAGTGCCAAAGGCTTGCGAGTCGCAAGCTATCGTTTGTGTCCATTCTCCCGGCCGATCCGTAATCCTTTAACCACGATCGAAAACCGATTTCTTCTTCAGATTGAGAAAATCGCTAGAATTTTCGAATCGGAGTGAAGAGAACTGGGGATTAGGGTTTACCTTGTAGAAGATGAGACCCCCCGATTTGTTGATGATGAAGAGGTTGTAGATCGCCGCCATGATTGCGCTTGCAGTCCACAATGCGATTGATAGGAATTTTCTCGCTCGTACTACGGTTCGGACCGCTATTCAATCGGTTTAGAATGGGTTGAGTTTAATTTGAATTCGGCTCGTGGCTCGGTATGTTTGGTTTGGAGTCAGCTCGGTTCGAAATATAATTGAGGTCGATCTGATTTGAAATCAAAATGAGCTAGCTCAAATTTGTGTCATTTGGATCCGTTCAAGCTCGAATTTGGCTCGGCTCGACAGCAGCTCTTATCTCATTATATTTGATTTTATTTAGTATTATATATAACTTTTATAAATAGCAAAAACATTTTGAACATTCCTCGAGTCAGTTTGAGCCGATCGGTGTGTGCTTTGAAATCGGCGCATAAACAATTTGACCCAAAATTTTAACTCATAACTCAGCTCATTTATTTCGCTTCGATCCCCATTCGAGCTAAAATTTGAATTAATTTTTGAGTGATTAACGAACTTGAAGCTAAATTCATAGCTCGAGGTTTTGTTGATGAGACGATTTTTATAAATTTTTGTACTTCTTAAATCCTATTTTAGTAGGATTTAATAGAAATGAATTTATATGATTTTAAATATTTAAGTGCTATGTATATAAATATAAAAGTTTAGAGGTAAAAGATGTAAAAACATAAAAAAACATACAACACAATTCTTATAAATTAATATATCTAACATCTAAACTTTTATGTTGTCAAGCTACCATTTTAGGCATAAAATATCTTCAAATTATCCTCGCTCCACCTTCGGAAGACTTACAATGACAAGTAAAGAGTCTATATGCTCCCGGTTTGGCTTTCTGTTTGATAATATATGCTTCTGTCCACGAGGGATCGAGTTTTCTGAAAGCCTAATCACGGATTGCGGCGTCTATCTTCTTTAGCACTAGATCACTCATCTAGAATGAAACTACTAGAATTCTGTTATCCCAAGCTATTAGGGATATAGGTAGCCAGGTCAGGGTAACACGGAACTGCCTTTCCAAGCCACTAGTACCTTAGGTCTACCTGGTTATGAAGATAGTCGACCCAACACGTCCAGAAATTCTCAGTCGGCAATCTGTGAATTGCGTTATCCACGAAGAACTCGGTACCCATAAGGTTAAAGGAATGAAACTCTATCATATGAATTTTTGGTGAATATCCAATATGTGGGACTTATAACTGTCGAAATGACAAAAATGCCGCTAGAAAGAAAAAGAAATTGGGGTTTAGCTACAAAGCATGAAATACTCCCAACAAAAGACTTACACCTCGTCTAGGTCGGGAGTCTTCTAACGACATAAACATTCTAGACACCTCCTATATAAAAGGATAAGCTTGGTCAAGTCAGATATGTAGAAGTGTAGGGACTTCTCTTAGGGTACATTAGGTACATGCAAATGAGGCAATTATCTAGAGTGGTCATTAGATTTTGTGGAGGTCGTATTAGTCATGATGTGGTGTATAGTCATGCATGCAATCCGTTTAAATATCAGCTTGAGGATCATGCAGAAAAATAAAAAATGGTTTTTGAAAGTTGTGACAATTTTGATTATTATTAGAATTTTGAGTAGAAAATTTATAATTTTAAGGTCCTTAACGAGCTTAGATTATAATTTTTTTGTAGTATCCCAGATCAACCAGAAATAAATAAGAGAAAATAATTCAAGCATGCAAATATGCAAGAAAGACAATAAACAAGCCAAAAATTAAAAAAAAAACTGGTGTCGTTGGGTTTGCAACATATCCAAGAAAAAAATATTGTTAACACACCACATAAGTACACATATAGTTCTAATTTTATACATAAATAAAATATAGAATTAACGTACGAGACACGAGTCTGCTGATCCTGGTCTCTGTCATGTGGTTATGTCTGTCTAACATCTTTAAACCTGTGTCTATACCTTATTTCTAATACAAGACTCTCATTGAATTCTAAGGGTATAGAGGAAAAAGTGGAAAAAATGTCTCGTTATGCATGAAAACAACGTTAGCAGGAAAACCAATAAAAATGCAACATACAATGAGTCATGCATTTTTATTGGGGGAACTAAATGCAATCTGTGAGCAAAAAGTTAGTATAAATAATCACATGCTCCCCCTTAATAATACATGCATATCAAGCACACAAGCACACCGAAAAGCAAAAAAGTGAAGCTTGATTGGAACAACCATTCTGGTATAGAACAATAACCAGAGGCGTCGAAAAATACTACCTAGCATCCTAGTCCTAGCCTAGGACACCATCAAAATGAGGAGTTGTCCTAGCCAGTATCTAAGTGCTCAAGGTAAGTATCCGGGTATGTATGACTTTGACAAGGTCGCCGCATCGCCCTGTCTTAAAGATCCAAGAGATCTAAAGGGTATCATCAGGATGGATTTTGAAAAGATTTGCCCTTACATATAACCTAGCTTACAACATGCATAATTTTCAAATTATGACGAATATAATAAGAAGAAAAATATATATATTTTTTTATTTTTAAAATAAGGGACATTAAATACGGACCTGTAACATGCAACGAGTTAGATCCATTGGATCCTTAGCACAGTCATACTCACGTCAATCCCGATGTGATAACTCACATTGCTGACCAGGATTCACCAGACGAGAAATGCTCGTTATGACATCGCGACAAATAAGAGGGGTCACTCACCTATCGAGCCTAATTCGCATACATATGCAAATGCAAATAATCATATGATAAAAGTGGTGATGAGTGTGTTGTAAAAGCAACGACCCAATAGAATAGGTGTGTCGTGGAGGTAGTGACCCGAAATGATAAGCATGTTGTAGAGGCATTCTCCCAAATGATGGGTGTGTCGTGGAGGCAGTTACCTGAAAGAGTGGGCGTACTGAGGAGACATTGTCCTGAAGAGATGAGTGTGTTGTGGAGGTAGTGACCCAAAAAGGTGGGTATGTCGTGGAGGCATTGACCCGAAGAGATGGTGTGTCATGGAGGAAGTGACCCAAAAAGGTGGGCATATAGAGGACGTTGTGGCGCAAAAAGATTGAGGTAGTAAACCCGAAAGGGTGGGCAAGCCGATGAGGCAGCGACCGGAAGAGATGGGTGTGTCATGTCGTGGAGGTAGCAACTAGAAAAAATGGGTGTGTCATTGAGGCAGTGACCCAAAAAAGGTTGGCATGTCGTGGAGGCAGTTACCCAAAATATGGGTGTGCATGGAGGCACTAACCCGAAAGGGTGGGTGTGTCGTCAATGCAGTAACCCGGAAAGGTGAGAAGTGCAAGTGTGAACCACCTGAGCCGTGGTGTTGTGTCATGAGGATACCACAAAGCAAATGTGGAGTAATGTGTCATTGGGAGGTATAAGTACTTATCAAGAGCATATGAGGGTATTTGCTCAAAGATGCACTAAAAGGGTGTAAGTCATGAATTTGCTTATTCAAATTCATGCAATAAAGACCAAAACACATGTAAAGCACACACTACGCAAGTGGGATTGGCTATTTGACCTGCTGGGATGGTTGGGGTGATCAATCTAAAGCAATTTAGCCAACGGGCTTAGTCGGGCTAAGGTGGTCGACTAGACTAGAAGCAATTGGTTGACCGGGTTGGGGCGGTCGGTCAGACCAAGGTGATCAGTCGACGTGGTCGGAGCGTCATATCAAAGTTATCAGTCGACCGACTTGGGGTGGTCGATCGAACTGAAGTGTAATGACAACCGGCCAGGGCGGCCGATCGAGACAAGGTGCAATTGTGTGAAATGCAATACAATAGCGAGTCATACTCGACTAACGCTCTCGCATAGGCACCTAGGGTATTAGCTCTTGGATTCGAGACATAACCGCCTCCTGCTTTGGTGAGGAAACACAGAGAACTTTGTCATATGATTTCTTGTAGGAGAAGTCATTCGTCGTTCGTAGGACGGACTAGCTACAAAGTTTTTTCAGTCCTACAAACCCTCCCACGATCTTGAGAACGAGGTTGCTACAAAGTTTTTTTCCATTCTTCAAAATCAAACTATTCCAACCCCTCCAAGGAAGGTTGGAAGTGCCAAAGCCATGAGAAATTGAGATTCCGACCCGCTTAGGTTAAGGCTAAGACTTCTCATGGGAAACCACTTAGTTTCGCAAGGTATTGGCCACGAATGTGATTCCTAACCTAAAGCTTCCTTTAGGAAACAATTGGCCATGCATATGGTCGTGCCAACTAGCATCAATCGTCCAACTTGCCCAGAGTAAGTGACCAAAAACTTATGATGACACCATAAAGTTGGTCAATCCAAAGGTGATGGTCGGGCCACCCGTATCGTTCGATAAATCACATCATTCGATGACGAACAACTGATTATGCTAAACAATACCGGGTGTCTGGTCAAATCCTCCTCGTGTGGGCAACCAAAACCCACAACACTTACTAAAAACTACTCCTAGGGCCGGCTAAGAAAAAAAACATATGGGTTTGAGAGAATCTCACCACCTGAAGGTTGACGACGCGATCTCTTTGATTGTCCTCACTATCACATTGCTCCGATGATGCTCGAACGAGCTCCCGAGCTCCACTCCTTCCTCACAGGACGAAGAAGACCACCCTTGGAAAGTGGTTCTGACGAAGTTATACCAATGTTTGGAACTCCGACGAAGCTCCCAACGATCCTTCCTAACCTCTCTTCTTGAAGAAGATGAAAACTCTCCCTCTCTTGCTCCAAGCTCTCAAGCCTAAAAGAAGAAGAAGAGGCTCCTTGAGGTAGAAGATAGTTTTCTCCCTCTAGTACTCTCAAGCTCTCCAAATGCTCTCCTCAGCTCTAGCAAGAAGCCTCTAAAAAGAAGGGAAGAAAGAAAAAAAAAAGCAAAAAAAAAAAAGAAATGAAGAAGAAGAAGAATTTCCTTTTTACTTGAACTCTTCCTGTAAAAATCTCTTTTTCCTTTCTTTAAAGCTCTCTCCTTAAGTTTGAAAATAGTGGATTGTCCCAAATGAGCTGCCTCCCTCCTCTTTTGTTTGGGTTGCCACACCAGCCATGCTTCTCGCATGGTCTCTTCACCCTCCTGACCTCTCTGCTTGACACAACCTGGGGAAGCATCTCCTCGCATGGAAATGGCATAATTTGATATGATCTCCCCATAATTTGCCTTGACCCATTCCATAAGCTTCATCGGAACCATGCAAAGTTTCCATTAAATGGTCCCCTTTAATCTGACGTGAAACGGGATGAAACGACGTGAAATGACAGTGTTTAATGGAGGCAGGATGTTTGTGCGTGTATGCACCAGGTATCAGGCGCATAAACTTCTCCCTCTATGTCTGGGATCGTTCCATGTGAAGTTCCGTCGCCTATGCGTCCCCTTCTCAGGTAGGCATAAAGAAGCAACTCCCAAAATGAGCTTTGCGCCGATGCGCCAAAATTGGGGGTGCATATGCGCCCCCTTTTACTAAATTGTGCCCCTTATATGCGCCCCCTCTTGCTAAACTGTGCCCCTTAAGAGCTCTTGGCACCTATGTACCACCCTAAAAAAAAATTTAATTTTCAATTTTTTTTTTAATTTATATTTTGTTTTTTGATTCTTTTCTTCGTCGAGGCGAGGCTCGTATGATGGATTATTATGGATACTCAGATCATCATAAGAAAGCAAGGGATGAAAATAGGCTTGTCCATCTCTGAGCGAACCCCACGGATGCACCCTATCGAGCGAAAATCCCCCCAAGGTCGGATTCAGCTCCGACAGTTTAGAATTTAATTTTTCACCCTGGTGCTCGTATGATGATTTCAATCAACCCGGACAATACGAAGAGTCATGCATCACTCAAATATGACTCCATAGATTAAAATGAACATTCTAGATGTCAATTTCGGAATTTTGGTGCCAACAAGCATCCTAAACCCCCACATGGGTATACCAGTCTAAAAACCCAAATTTTACCAAAAGTGCGAGGGATAGTTTAATGACTCCCCCTGCCCGCTGGAAGCTCCGAATGTGGGATATGACCTCTGACACACCATAATGGAAATCAAGCACGTCTTTTGTCAGAATTTACATTGCCTCATGGTGAATTCTCCCAAGTAGGACTAAAAATTAGTATCAATTATGATTCTGTGCTCAAGACACGTGTCAAGAGGTCCTATCGAATGTCTTAAATTACGAGAAACATAAGACAGCCTCGTATCATTCGCATGGACATCCTGAGCATGTGCCATCAAAAATTGACGCCAACATTACATAGATCAACCTCTAATATGCTGTGGAATCTCTCCACGCCACACTTATGCATGCCCTTAAAATCATACAGTCTGTGCACCCACACTTAACCCCAAACAAATTATCCACATTATTTCGCATAATAATAACTTTAAAAAAAAAATCGCTCATACATTAATAAACCTGTATTCCCCCAGCATAGTTCCAACCCTGAAGCAAAACCTGCGGTGTGAGTCCTTCAGAAACCTCAAACCAAATACTAATACTCATCTCCTCACCTGGAACAAGCGAGAAATAATTATCAGAGTAATGAACAGGAAGAACGCGATTATCTACCACCCCATCCTCCACCTCTCCAGCAACAACAGAGAAATGGAGGAAGAAAGCCACTCCATAATCCATTCCATCAACTTCGACGATTCGGACACCGCCTTCGTTACCCATCGAATTTGAAGCTTCCTTCTTGCCATTTTCGAGCAATATTTTTGAAAAGCTAGAGTTCGAGTTCGAGCTCTTCGACAGGTTAAGAACATGGATCTGGATGTTGCAGATCGATTCGGCGAACGAAGCTTGCGAAGTAATCTTAAGAGGTGTTCGATTTCCTCGATGAAGTTCCAAGGAGTTGTAATCTGAATTTGGCAGATGTAACCAGTAGAAATTTCGGGATATAATCATGTTTGTATCAGAGATTCTGAAGAGTTTGAGGAGAAGGAAATAGACTGGTTTTGCATTCTCTGATTTGGGATAATTCAGCTCGATGATTGGTGAAACCTTTTTGGCTGGTGCTGAAAATTTATCGGTAATGTTGTAATATGGGCATTTGCCATCAAGATCCCACACTGAAACTTCTATGGCTATGTCTGAGAGTTCATCTGATGTAGTGTTCACTACCTGGTGCAATAAACAATGATTTTTATGAAATTAAAATGGCTTGCATAAAAAGAAAAATAATATATATATAGATTTTAAATGAGCTAAAAAAATGATAATATATCATGTGTTGTGTCTACCAAATTCGAACAGTAAGTATATGTTGAGCAATAGTGTAAGCAACATTATATAAATAAATAAAGTGGGAATTACATACATGGCATGCTAAATATTGTTATTTACAAATCTAGCAACACCTTTCATCCATTTTTCAAATTCTCTCAAATATCAAAATTCATGATAAAACCCCCACCAAGATTGTTCATTTTCATCAAATTCTCGATTGTTCGATCGTGGCGCGGGTAAATTCATCGGTGCGGGTAAATTCATCGGTTTGGCAGTTCAAAAATATAACTTGGGTTCTAGATTTTGTAAATAGCAATGTTTCAGGTGCTATGTATGTAGTTATCCCTTAAATGTAATAACGTGAAATAATAATTCATTTTTTATTTTAACTAATTTATAGTTTTTCCTTCATTTTTTATACCTTCACTTTCACTTATATCTCCACTTGTTCATATTTTCTTTTTGTTTTTTATATCTTTATTTGCATTTATACATCCACTTATTCATATTTGTTCAGGTGTATCAAACACGCAAATGGATAATAATATAGGCGTACATGCTTTTATAACTTCACTTGGATTACAAAACATAATAAGTCTATGATATTGGATAATTCAATTTGATAAATGGTGAAACTTTCTTAGTTGGCACAAGAAATAGTAACCAACAACACCTAAACATTTATATTTATAAGCATATCACTCAAATCTTAAACATCATATTATAAATAACATGATCACCATCTTTTTAAAAATGAAGTACATACTTTCATGCATAAATTTTTGACGTCAAGATGTTGTAAGTGTAAATATTAAATGTTAAATATGCATGTAGATAAGAATTGTGGCGTGAATGCAATTTTGGGGCATTTACATAAATATTACACAATTCGTATGTATTTACATATCTAACACATAAACATTCATATCTACATGTAAGCCACTCAAAACTTTGACATAACGTCATGAAGACCATCATCACTGTCCTTTTAAAAGTGAAATAGATCATTTTCATGCATAGGTTTATGACACCAAGGTAATATGTGTAAATATGTTAAATATGTAAATACATGAGAATTGCATGGTATGTATGTAAATTTCCCTATTTCTTTCGATGCAAAACAAAGTTAATTGTTGTTGAGATGACAATACTTAGGTGGATGAGTTGCTTGACTCTTAGAGACAAAATGCGAAAATGTTTATCCGTGAAAGGGTTGGTGTAGCTCCAGATGGTTTGGTCACATTAAACGTCGACCTATAATGATCCAATTAGGAGTATAGATGTTTTAGATTCGACTTATGTTAAGAAAGGCGGAGGTAGACCTAAAAAGAGTGCAGCATATTGTATAAAAAAATGATTTTAATATACTAGAATTAAATGAAAAATCATACTCAATATGACACAATGAGAAAAATGATTCATGTAGCCGACCCAACCTAGTGGGATAAAGACCCTGCTTAGTGGGATAAAGGCTTGTCATTGTCGTTGTTGTTGTGAAAATTTTCTAACCTCAATATAGAAAGTAGAAAGATTGAGTTGGACATGAATCGGCTCAGCGGCACTGCGGCAACCGTAGAAACCTGCTGTTTGATCATGAAGATGATCATAAAACTGACCTCTCAGACCCGTCCATGGATTCTGCGTCTTCCAAATAAGAACGCCGGTGTACTTCGTCCACATTCTCGAAGTCCAACCCTCTAAGAGGGCTTTATATTGAACATAATTAACAAGTTGTGCCTAAATCAGTGTAGAGATCAGAAAGAAGCAATCAAAATGAATCAAAATTATCATATCCAAGCTAGCAAAGTGTCAAAATAGTCCCTAATTATTTATAATAAGATCATTTTAGTCCCAACATCTGTAAAAGAATCAGATTTGTCTTGAGACTCTTCTAATATGGGCTAAAATAGTTCCCATATAGAACTATTTTAATCTCCATTAAAAAAGTCTATAAAAGTGTCAAATTAGTCCCAAAACTTTTTTAATTGGGCTAAAATAGTCTGCATAAAAAGCTATTTTAATCCCCCATTAAAAGAGTCAATAAAAGTATGGAATTAGTCCCCAGAATCTTTTAATATGAGCGAAAGGAGTCCCCATATAAAAACATTTTACCCTTTATTAAAAGAGTCTGGGACTAAATTGAAACTTTGGTCCTTTAAACTTGTACATGAAAAGATGTATTTAACATTTAAAAATTAATAATAGCACTATTTTTAATGTTATATTAAATATTTGAGTGTTTTGTGTGTAAAGATAAAATTTTAAGGGTGACATATGTAAATACATATAAACTATGTGGTATGTATGCAGATCTTCAAATAATAAAATGACAAATTTAATGGATAATTAAGACATAAATAATAAGAAATCACTTCATATAAATTATAAAATATCATTTTTGTAACATTCTTAATTTAAAGATAAAGCATTAAATTTTAATATAATTTGAGTATGTTTTCTATTAATCAAATTTTTAAACATCGAGCTAAACTCATGAGCCCCTTATCGAGCCGAGCATAAACCGACTCACGAGTCAACTCGGCTCAGTTACAACCCTAATCAAAATTATAATATCCAACCCGAAAGAGTTTAAATTTCAGCTCACCTTTTCGCAGAAATCATCGAGGTCCTTAGGGAATCCATACAATCCGATTTGGTCATGGACCTTCTCCGGCTTCGAATACGGAATGTATTTGTGGTATTCCCATGTTGGATTTGGGATTTCTTCCACATACCCCGTCGGAAGTTTTTGAAAAGTAGGGATCTGCCATGCTTCCGGCGGCATCGTCGCTCTTATCGTGGTGGCGACCGGCATCCCCACCGAGCCAACCTCCGGATTGAAGCCATATTGATAGAACTCATCCTTGAAGAAATCTTCTGGATTTTGAATCTCGTAAGGACCGTCCGTAAAATCGCCTTTACCATTCGCGAATCCATCCCACATAGATCCTTGAATATAAGCTCGAGTTCCGTCGAGATATAGACTCGGATCATCAGATTGTTTGAGCGAATCTTCTCCTAAATTGTGAGTTACATCAATAGATTCGAATAGAGGATGGAGTTTGAGGTCGTTTATAAGAGAAGTATTGATGTCTTGCGGGGGAATTTGCTCGTTGCCGCCAACCCAAAGGGCAAGACTTGCGTGATTTCGAAGAAGTTTAATGGTGTCTCGCGCGCAGAGGAGGAAAAGGTCATGGTCTAATGGTCCGTTAGGGTTTGAGATGGGCATGCCTCTTCCATCACAGTCACCTGTTATCCAAAACTCTTGCCAGACCTGTAAGTCGCGATTAAAATCAGTAATTCTGATGGAAAATTTGCTCTGAATGTATGTTACAGTATCTCAGATAGAAAAATATTAGGATATTTACATGCATACCACTCAATTGCATATCTAACACTTAAATTTCAATTTGTATATATATTTGACATATTTCTGCATGAGAAAAGATGTATTTCATTTTTTTATATAGTTAAAATAATGATATTTTTTATATGATATGACAGATTTGGGTGATACAGATGTAAAAAGTAAAATTTAGGTGTTAGATATGTAAATATGTGCAAATTTGGTGGTATGAATGTAAATGCCCCAAAAATATTTCAATAACAGATCAGAAAGGGCGAGCATATATATATATATATATATATATATATACCTTCGTATTTTACATATCTAACATCTAAACTTAATATTTTTTTGTCATCTTATATATGCTTGAAAAAGTGTATTTCACTTACTTTAGAATTTCAAATGGTGATACTTTTTTATGTGATGCAAAAGATTTGGGCAATATAAATGCAAAAAATAAGGTTTAGATGTTAAATATGCAAATGCACAGGAATTTGAAGTTATGTAAATACCCCAAAAATATTTCAATAGCGGGTCAGAAAGGGCAAGCAGTCGTGGATGCATGCTTATATAGAAGATTTGCAGGCATGCCACTCGATTCCGATGTATTTACATATCTAACACATAAACTTCCAAATTTACAAACATGCCACTTACCTATGCATGAAAAAATATATTTACCTTTTAAAAGTTAAAATGACAGTATTTTTTTATGTAATATGAAAGATCAGATAGATAGATGACGATAGACATTGATTGAAAAATGTAGGATTAAGAAACAATAGGGAGATTTACACGTACGCCACAAAATTCTTATATATTTACATATTTGACACCAAAATTAAAATATTTATTTATATAACACTTCAGTCTCATACGACATCAAAATTTATACATGAAAATGTGTGTTTCACTTCATCAAAATTAATATTAATGGTACTTTTTTAGGCCATGTCAAAGATTTGAGTGTTAGTAAATAAATATTAAAGTTTGAGTTAGAAATGTAAATACATAAGATTATGTGGCACGTATGTAAATCTTTCAATCCTGCATTACGAGTACAAGGAGTTGGATATGTATATATATATATATACTCGTAATGCAGGATTGAATATATAAATGCCAAGGTAAAAATGTAAAATATAAAATCTTACCAAAATTCCATAAACATCACAGTAGTGATAGAATTCTGATCTCTCAGCTAATCCACCTCCCCAACAACGGATCATGTTGAAGTTCATATCCGCATGGAATTTTATGTCTGTCATGTAACGTTTGGCCGACAGCCGCAACAGCCCGTCCGATAAGATCCAATTGCCGCCGCGAATAAAAATTTGTTGGCCATTTACTCTAAATAATCTGCAAAGCTAAGATATGAAACTCAGAAAATGAAAAAACCAGTATAGTTTTAGACTAACTAATAGATTCATGAAGGCACCCAAAAAAAAAAATGTCAGAATAGTCCCCTGATTGTTTAAATGAGGTTATTTTAGTCCCGAAGTCTATAAAAGTGCTAATTTAGTCACTAATTCAGCTCCAATTTAAAAAGATCGAGGACTAATTTGACAAATTTATAGACTCTGGGACTAAAATGGCCTTATGTGAGCAGTTGGGAGTACTCTGATACTTTCAATAATAGGCAATTACATACCGTCCACCAGTTGTTGTATCGATTGTACTCTCGATTTTTCGGAATCCAAATGGATGAGACCATGAATCAGACTCCCCAAAACCTTTCACATCGACGGTTAGTTCGACATTATATAAGAACTGCTTACCCATGCCATTGGGCCACCACAAATTTGGCTTCTCAAAGAGGAGCTGGAACACAGTTGTTGCTAAGTACTCTTTATTGTAGTACAAAAATGAGTTTCATAGATTATAACATTCACACATTCATAGAGAAAACTTGGCGCTCAACATGCTATTAATCTTTAATCACGAGAATATTATAGGTTTTCATTATGCATTATGCATGTTATTTTAGGAAAAGTTAAAATAATCAAAATAATGCTTTAATTATTTGTAGAGGCCATTTCAACACCAAACTATATAAAAGGTTTGATTCGGTCCCCAAACTCTGAGAGTCTGTTTGGGGCAGCTGCAGCTTATTAAAAATCACTGTGAAGCTGTTGAAAAATATCTGATGTTCAAAAAACTGCGGTGGCAATTACTTTTTTTTTTTTTTGAAAAAATCAAACCGTAGCTAGAAAGCTGTCACCGCACCTAGCCAGGACCGGTAGGAAAATGCAGATTTCAGCCACAGCTTTTTGAAAAAATTGTCAAAATACAGTTTACGGAAACAGACAAAACTGCGGCGCGGTGCCGCACTGCCGCCTCAAACGGACCCTAAAAATAGAAGCCAAAATGATCCTATCATTGAAGTAACATAAATTAAAATTAAATGTAACGTTCGAGTTAAAAAAAGAGTAAAGTGCCAAAATAATCCCCTGACCATTCATTCACATGGGATCATTTTAGTCCCAGAATATACAAGTGTCAAATTAATCCCCGACTCATTAAATTGGGGTTGAAATAGTCATCTATGAAGACTATTTAAGCCAATATTAAAAGAGTCGGTAGACCAAATTGGCACTCTTATAGGCGCTGAGATTAAACCAATCCCCTGCAAAGAGTCTAATGACTATTCCAACAATTTTCTTGAGTTAACAATGAAGATATTTTAAGAATTTATTTTAAAATATTTACAAAATCTATTTTCCCAGTTGCCATATTTGGGGTATAATCTATTGACAATATTACCAAGCTTTCTTCTCAATAAGTGTTGAGCTTAAATGGACACAAAAAAACAGTTTAGAAACTATTTTGATCATTTACTTTTTAGAAAATATATTAATAACTAGGGGCATTTACATGCATACAACGCAATTCATATATATTTACACATCCAACACCTAAACTTTACTTTTTGCATTTTCACCACCCAAATCTTTCATATCACTTGAAAAAAAACCACCATTTTAACTTCTGAGAAGTGAAATGCACCTTTCATGCATGGGTAGTGTGGCATGTATGTAAAGTTGGATTTTAGGTGTAAGATATGTAAATTCATAAAAACTGAGAGGGTAAGTATGTAAATTTTCCGAATAAATAATCAAGAAAACATGCTCTTTAAATTGTAAGATACTCACTGGAAGAATTGTGTATGTTATGAGTGTTTTGGGAGGGATCGAAAACTCGTATGTTTGAAGATGCTCGAGCAGACGCATGCCTTCATCTAATTCTGCTGTCACTTGGATGGTTAACGAACATTCCGCCAGCCATTGACTTTTATTTTCCAAGTCAACTGTAGACTGTAGGTATGATTTCTCATAGTTGTCGAAGAACGATGATACGAGGTGTGGATCAGATAGCTTGACGGGCTATATTCCGAAAGAATAAGCATACTATAAGAATCTCCAATTAGCATCACATTTTGTAATAAAATGAAGGAAGATTCACATGCATAGCACTTAATTCCTGTGTATTTACACATCTAACACCTAAACTTCAATTTTTACTTGTATGTCATCTTACCTATGCATGAAAAGGAGCATTTTACTTTTTAAAAGTTAAAATAATAGTATATTTTATGTGAAATGAAAGATTTGGGTGGTACAAATGTAAATAATTGAGTTAGGTGTTAGATATGTAAATATGTACGAATTTGGTGGTATGTATGTAAATTCTCCTACTATAAAGAATTTTAAGTGGTAGAAGTAGCAAAACAACGTCGGAGTCAAGCTGCTCTAGCTCGACATTTCATGCAAATATTCAGACAAAATTTAAATTTATTGACTGATTACCAAACAAATTGAGATGTTTTTTTAGCATTTCCACTCAAATTGGGTTAACAGAATGTATTTAAAATGAGCACAAGCTATGAATCTCCATACAGTTCTGTTGCTTTCTAGGTGTTACATGCACAGTGGTTGCGAAAATGGAAGCTAAAAAAAGGAAGATTTACATATATAACCGCTCAACTCCTACGTATTTACATATCTAACACCTAAAATTCCATTTTTGCATACATTCCACCAAACCTATGCATGAAATGGTGTATTTCACATTTAAAAATTAAAATAGTGGTATTTTTTATGTGATATGAAAGATTTGAGTGGTAGAAATGTAAAAAGTAAAGTATAGGTGTAATATATGTAAAACCACAGGAATTAGGGGGTATATATGTAAATGCCCCAATATATATATATATATATATATAAAGTTATAAAAAGATTGAACTAACCCCAGTAATTGAAATCGAGACTTCATCCCAGATCCCAGTATTCCTATCCCTGCAGTAAAAATAAAATGGTTAATGTATTTCTTTCAGTAACAAAATAGATTAAAGATGGGGCTTTTACATACAAACCACATATTTCTTATCTATTTACATATCTAACACCTACACTCTCAAATTTTCATATATATACAAATTAAATTTTTAACATCACATCAAAAATACCACTACCATTATCTTTTTAAAAATGAAACACACATTTTCATGCATAAGTTTATGACACAATAAGGTGTATAAAAGTAAATATCAAACTTAGGGTGTACCGTGTAAATATATAAATATTATGCGGTAAGTGTGTAAATTTCCCATTAAAGATTCAGTAGAAGCTGTATAGTGTTAGCGGGTGAAAGATTGTGCAGATTTCTTGAGACAACCTTATTGGGGTCATCCAGTCCCAGCCTTCAACATATTGAGCAGCAACATCTTTGCCAATCTGAAACAAATTAGATATAAGATTAGGAAGAGATAAAGATTTACTTTCACCTTTCAAACAACTAATATCAATGTAAAAACAGTAAAGCTATAGTAAATAGAAAAATGAAACAAAAATTTTCATGACGAGGACGGGCCTTCATGAAAAAAATTTTTTTTTTTTTTTTTTCAAAAGGAATGGCCATAGGTTATTATACGAGCATCCAATCACCCCTAATGTGCCTAACAATTCGAGTACCACCTCCTTAAAGTCAATTGTGCCAGAGGACTCCTAATGTGCCTAACAATTCGAGGACACCTCCTTAAGGACAACCGTGTCATAGGGGATTCGAACCCCCGACCTGAGGGTCTTACACAGTTACACCAATGATGTCAACCAACGGGTTGGGGTAGCAACACATATATATAACAACAACAAGCCTTTATCCCACTAAGTGGGGTCGGCTACATGAATCCTTTTTCTCCATTGCTTCCTATTGTGTGTCATATTTTCATTTATATATATATATACATACACACATATATATGTATATATTTATATATAGTCCCCTTTCAATAATCAAGGTAGCTAGGCCCTTGCATAAGCGAAATGAGATGCTAAAATTATTTTTTTACCTCCTTCAATTTTAAAGAATACTTTTAGAAAATATAATATGATAATCAAAATAAAATATAGTGGCATTTGCATATATAGCACACTATTCTTACCTATTTATTAATGCAGCATTACCTATTTATTAATGCAGCATCAAAACTTTCATATTTACACACATAGCACCCGATTCTTTCATATCACGTCAAAAATAACATTGTTACCACTTCTTAAAAGTGAAGTGCACATTTTCATGCATGCTTTAGAGCACCAAAGTGCTATGTAAGTAAATATCAATGTCTAGGTGTGAGATATGTAAATACATAAAAATTGTGTGGTACATATGTAAATTTCCCTAAAATATAAAATATAGTGGGAAAATATATATACTTTCAACTTGTGTCATTCCAAATGCCAAAATGGCAAAAACTTGTCAAATAAGCTGCCAAAGCAAAGTATCTATAAGGTTCAAATGTTATACTTAAAATTTAAAAGCAGATAAAAATGCAAAGCATGAATAAAAAAAATCAAGTAAAAACATAAAGTGAAGCAAATGATTCAAGTTTGGGGATAAGAAAATATAAAGAAATTTACATACATACCCCACAATTCTTACGTATTTATGTATCTAACACCCAAAATTTCATATTTACACTTACAACACCTTGGTGTCATAAACCTATGAATTAAAAGTTGTATTTAACTCCTAATAAGATAGTGATGGTGATATTTTTTATGTGATGTTAAGGATTTGGGTGCTATGAATGTAAATATGAATGCTTAGGTGTTAGATATGTAAATACATAAGAATTATGTGTTATGTTTGTAAATGCCCAAAAACTATAGCACAGAGCCAACAACCCATGCTTTATAATAACGTTGGAAGATTTACTTACATGCCACTTCCTATGTATTTACATATATAAAACCACAATTTTAATTTGACAAACATACCACCTTATCTAATCATGAAATTGTGTATTTCACTTTTTAAAAGTTAAAATAGTAGTATTTTAAATGTGAGAAGAAAGACTTGGGTGGTATAAATGTAAACAAGAAAAGTATAGGTATAAGATATGGAAATACATAAGGATTGGGTGGTATGTACTTAAAAATCAAATTTTGATGAACTTAGAAAGTAAGATGTTAATAAGTATGGCAAACCTCATGATCGCCGCCTTGACCTCCTTCCGGCGGAATTTTTCCAGGATGATCAGGAGGATGAATAAGTACAGCAAGCAAATTTTTCCCATTAGGGTTGATGATATCAGTAATATCAAACGAATTTCTTCGAAACATGCCCTTTGGAAGAATCATTTGGTGCCCGTTCAAATAAACCTCCCCTGAGTAATTGATTGCACGAAAATTGAGTTCTGCGTGTTGATTTTCTGCCTAAAACACGAAAAAACGGAAGGGTGAATGAATATATATAAAGAAACAAATAATACTTATAATGTTACATGTTTGGGAAATTTACTTACATACCACACAATTCTTATGCATTTGGATAACGAACATGTCAAGTTTGACATTTACATTTATAACACTTTGTATATGCATGAAAGGTTGAAAAAGTCAATGATTGTGGCATTTTTTATGAATGTTAAAGATTTGAGTGTTATGTTCGTAAATATGAAAGTTTAGGTGTTAGATATGTAAATGTAAGAAAATTGTGCGGAATGTACGTAAATGCCCCTAAATGCTTCTTTTATTAAAATTAGTGATTATAATCATTCTTATCGTAGTTAGTCATTTGTACACTTGACATTAGTTTAATCATATTGTGTAGACCTTCTCATTGACATTTATACACTTAGTTGTGCATTTAGGGTTTATTTGGGACAGTTGCAGCTGTTTAAAGAAACAGCTGTGAAGCTGTTGAAAAAATATTTGTTGTTCAAAACGTTGCGGTGGCTATTACAATTTTTTTTTTTTTTTGAAAAATTTAGACCGCAGTTTTCTGGCAACCACCGCAGGCAGCCAAGTCTGATGGTAAAAAGCTACTTTCAGCAGTAGTTTTTGAGAACACGGACAAAACACAGTTTTACCAAACAGAAAAATTTGCGGTACGACACCACACCGCCGCCCCAAACACACCCTTAGTTTTTTAAATCATTTGCTTTTGTTAATCTATTTAATTATGTGGATTTTAAGTGGTTGAACAGTAAAGCAAGATAGAAATAAAATATTTAAAAAAGCAAAATTTTGGAATGCTCACAACTTCATCAATGGTAATTTTTCAATCAAAGCACTGTACTTAATTTCTTAGCCTAGTTAGAGTAAGAACTTAAATATGGCTATCCATAATCACAAAATAAATAAATAAATAATAATAAATAAAATTATGCTTGTCAAATGTGAAGGGCATTTAGATACATTATTAAGATATCTAACATCTAAACTTTACTTTTTTACATTTATATAATCCAAATCTTTCCTCTTGCATCTAAAATACCACTATTTTAACTTTTAAAAAGTAAAATACACATTTTCCTGCATGGGTAATTGGGTGAGGTGATAGATATATGTAAGAACAGAAGTTTAGGTGTCAGATATGTAAATATGTAGGATTTGAGTGGTATGTTAATGATATCGACCTTCCAAAAATAGATTATTTGCAGCACAACTTAAGCTATGGGTTTAATGATGCATACCAGTTTAGATTCAAAAGTTATAAAAAACCAAAATGTATAGTACTCCATTCCAGAATCAGCAATATCAGCTATTGATTCATTGTTTAACCCATAAAAAGGATCTGGAATCAATTTGTTCTTCAGCAAGGTCCCTAAAACCCTAAAAACATAACATATCAGATTTAAAAGTGTAAAAAGTAATGACCCCGGAACAATAAAATAAAAAATGGTTAAGCATTATAAAATCATTGAGAACTAAAAAATAAAGAGGCTAAGCATTATAAAAACATTGAGAACTAAAAAATAAAGGGTTAATTGCATACAGACCACTTGAAACATTGATATTTACAAATTAAGCACCAAGTAGATTTTTTTGAACTACCGGACCAACATATTTACACATGTCATGATCAAATCATTGAAAATTTAATAGAATGGGTTGGGGTGTTGCAATGAATTTTGATATTTGAGTGAGAGTTTGAAAAATGGATGAAAGAAGGTGGTTGATTTGTACATATAAGTTTTGGGTCGTCTATATACAATTGCCCCTTTATTAAATCCTGTAGTTAATTTGAACTACCCAATCCATACTTTTCATTGTTATCAAATTCTCAATAGTTTAATCGTGGCACATGTAAATACATCAGTTTGGTAGTTAAAAAAAATCAACTAGATGGTCAATTTGTAAATATCAATGTTTTGGGTGATTTGTATGTAATTATCCTTTTAAACCGGAAAGAGAACTTAAGAGAGTTAAAACGCTATACATCAGTTCGGTAGTTCACTTGAAAATATATACTATATATTTTATTAAGATTTAACTAGAGTAAGCATGTACCATGTAAAAAAAAAAAATCGAATATTTACATACATACCACTCAATTCCTATATGTTTACATATCTAACACCTATATTTTACTTTTTACATATATGCCGCCCTGACTATACATGAAAATGTGTAATTCACTTTTTAAAAGTTAAATAGTGGTGCTTTAATGTGATAATAAATATTTGGGTGGTAGAAATGTAAATAAGTAATGTTTAGGGGTTAGACATGTAAGTATATAATAATTGGGCAGTTTGTATGTGAACGCCCCAAAACTTCTTTGAATTTAGGGGATGCTTGGCAATGGATTTAGAGCCGGATTTAAGCTAAATCTTGCCAGATGGTCATTCCGGACAAGATTGAGGCGCGGATTTCACGGATTTCGTTCGGTTTTAAATCCCGTGCATCATACAACGAGAGCGATTGGGATCGCCATGGATTTACGCAGAATTTCCCAAACTGTTTGAATGGATTCCCGGGATTTTGAGGATTTTGTTGACATACAGTTTTTCATTTAGAATCTAGTAAGTCCGGATTTACATAATTCACTAAATCCTAATAATTTAAAATAAATTCGTTACTAGGGTGCGTTTGGGAGGGCTTATTGAGAACGGTGGCGTTTTGAAAACGCCACCGACGTGTTTGGAAATAGCGTTTAGAAGCCTCCCTCAAAACGTCGTTCTGCCTTTTGTATTAGACGCGGATCACGGGGTGCTACCCGCGATCCGCGTTTCATTTGGTCGAAAGACAAGTAAAGTCCTTGCACTCGCTTCCTCTTCCTCACACGCTCGTTCTATTCCATGCTCGGATTCGGGCGACACTCAGCCGGAGGAATCTCTCCCACTTTCCGTTCTAGAGTTTTCTTTTCTGCACCTCGTCAAGACGGAGCTTGCTGGGGTTTTTCTGGGACCCTACGGCATCACCTGACCACAATGCGAGCAAGGATTTGTCTTCCGCCTCTGGCCAGGAGGCGGGTCCGCCTGAGGAAGAGTGAACGCCGGGTGTGGAGCAGGTGACGGAGAAGAAGAGAGGCAAGAAGAGGGGAAGGGAGGAAAAGGATGTGAATCTCTCTGTCTGTTTCCGTTCTAGGGCTTTCTTCCCATGAATCTCTCTCTCTCTCTCTCTCTCTCTCTCTCTCTCTTTCTCTCTCTATTTGTGTGTGTGTGATTGTGTGATAATTTTTTTAAGCCCAGTTAAATTTTTTTCTCATGTTAGTTCTCCATATGTTGCCTAAAATTCCTAATTCAGCTTCTATCTTTTTGCTTTATTATGATATTCAGTTAATTTCCAGAAGACTTTAGTTTAAGATATTAAATACTCTGGCTCTCACAACAAAGCCCATAGATTTTAGTATTATATGAAATTTTATGACAAAAAATAAAAATTTATAACAAAAATAATAGAATTTCTAAGTTTAAAATATGTCGTAGATGTGTAAATACAGTTTCTTCTGTTTGAGTTTACTTTTTTCTTAATTTTTAAATTATATTATTTTAAAATTAGAGTCAAATGTAAATTATTGATTACAATTTACATTCCGGATAATTTAAATTTTTATAAAAAAAATTATCTACAAAAAGTTACAGATAAGCTGTTTTCCAAACACACATATCAAATAGCCAAACAACTTATTCAGAACAAGGGCAGAATGATCATTTATCCAGAATCAGCTATTTTCCAAACGCACAAACCAAACAGTCAGCCAACTTATACGGTCAGCTGCTCATCGGCAGATTATCAGGATAAGCTGCTCATCAGTAGAAGCTGGATAAGCTGCAGTTGCCCAAAACAGACCCTAAATCTCACTTGTAGACAACATAAACTCCAAATTTTGATAATGAGAGATTGAAGTTTTGCAATCCTCAAATTTATTGCATGTAATTTTGCAATTCTCAAATGAATTCCAAATTTATTGCAGGTAATTTTGCAATTCTCAGCCAAATTCCAAGTCTCCCTCAAGATCGCAGAAAACCCTAGCGATTCAATTACTTAAGCAATCCATCCAAATCTAGAAGAATATACAAGGAAACGAAGAATTGGGCATACGTTCCGGGGATGGCGGCCTCCATCCATGGAGGAGAAGGACCGGGAGGTGGTGTGGTTGTTGTCAGAAGGACGCCGTTGATCTCCACTTCCGTCGATCTCGCCGCCAGCCATGATGAGTCGAGCAACGTTTTCCCAATCAACGCAGTAGCCATATGCGCTCGGATTCCCTCTTGTTCTCGCTTTTCTTCTCGACTGCCATTAATATAGCCCTCGCCTGCTTTGGTTCCCGACGGTAACTGTAAAAGAGAGGGGATATGCTGTAGAGAGTGACGGGTGACCTAGCGTTGCGGGTCCTGCGGCCATTTTGTCAGAGTAATTGTCGGGGAAAGCTCCAAGGAAGACGATGAGAATCTAAGAAAAGCTCACGAATGAGCAGCGCGGCCCTTGAGCTATAACTAGCCAAGAAGATGCGCTTTTGGAGTACGAAAATTGACCAGATATATGGACATATCACATAACCGCTAAGTAAATATATTTTTTCGTTAAAGATATGTTTGGGCCAGGGCTGTCAAACAAAGCTGGTTGTTGGTGAACAAACTCGGGGGAGTTCGTGTCATTTGTTAGATAAGTAAATGAGACGAACGTTAATATTTTTTTTTTTTTCGTTCGGTTTATAAATGAAACAAACACGAACAATCGTTTGTTCAATATATATATATATATATTTCATTATATATTAAAAATAATTATATACCCTAAAAACTTACCATATTTTAAAAAATTAAATCCTATAAATTGTAATCTGATCTTCTGATTCGCCTCTTAGTTTATATTAAATTCTATAATTTTGTATTTATCTTCACGATCGTCTCTTACCTTAAATTTTCTTATATTTCTTTTAGATTTATTTAGTTTCTTTGAGTGAAACTTAATTTTTTGGAGTAAAACCTCGTATATTACCTCAAGAACTGATTTTTGTTTATGAATGAGATATGATATTATGGTTTTATTGTGAGTTGTGTTTCGTCTATGTTGCACATGTGTTGTGATTCATGCAAGTTTAAACATTAATTTCTTATATGTTTAAGCTTTTGAAATATTTTGAACAATTCGAACAATACAAATAAATTTGTAAGATTCCGAACAGTTCAAATAATTCAAATAATTCGAACAATTCGAACATTTCAAACAAAGCAAACCAAACACGAACAACAACTTCACGAATAATTTCAAACACGGGTTTATTTCAAACACACTTAATTTCAAACAAACTAAACATGAACATCAGCTCTCTCCGTTCGTGTTCGGTTCGTTTACACCCCAATTTGCGGTAGCTATAACTATTTGAAGAAGCACTTATTTTAAAAAGAAACTCTTATTAGAAAATTGTGGTGATTATTATAAATAAAAAAAATTTGGCGATAGATTTCTGGCAGCTACCGCAGGTAGCCAGATTTGATGGGAATACACAGATTTCAGTTGTAATTTTTTTAGAACGCGAGTAAAACGTAGTTTTATCATACAAAATTTTTTTTAAAATGTATGTATTGTGATGCAATATAAATCTTGTGATGCAAGTACTAATGTGGAGTTGTTAGAGAATCTTCTCTCCAATCTAAAAACTATAATTTTAGTTATACTCTAAAAAGTAATTTATAATTTAGTTGTCATTAAATTAAACTTTTTTAAAAAAAAAAATCTTATAACATAAAAAATCAAAATTTAAGTACTATATATTCAATTCATAAGATTTATGCTATGTGCATATAAATCCCTTGAAAAATAAAACAAATAGCTTTGCATAAATAACCCTAAAATTTATTTTACTTGCATATGTGATATGAAGGCTTAAAACTTTGTATTTGCTTTCATAATACTAAAAAACAACACTTTCTTCACTCTCACAATTAGCTTTCCATCACTAACTAACACCAACTAATCTTCTCCTTTTCACATTGTCTGTCAAACCATGTATTTCTATTTGGGGGTATTTACATATACACCACACAATTCTTATGTATTTACATTTCTAACATTTAAACATTCATATTTACATGCATACCTCTCTGGAATTGCTAAAATCACATAAAGAATGTTTTCATCACTATCTTTTAAAAAGTATAACACATCTTTTCATGCATACATTTATGAGAAAAAATTTGCGCACGCAAGACGTACCCAGCGCAACGTACATAATGGAGGTTATATGGGCGTTATATCGGCATTATATTCACGTTATATCCCTTGTAACCTCCATATAACTTCCATGTAACCTACATGTAACCTACGAATATGTGAAAACATAAGCGCGAAACTTATTTGTTAGTTCATGTAGGTTAAAGGTATGTTATATAAATGTTACATGAAGGTTATAAGGGATATAACGAGAATATAATGACGATATAACGCCCATATAACCTCCATTATGTATGCAGTGCCGCGCATGACACCAAAATGTTACAAGTGTAAATATCAAACGTTAGGCGTTAGATATGTAAACAGACAAAAAAATTGTGCGGTATGTACGTAAATTTCATTTTCATTTAGCTTACATTTAATAAAATTTTACTCTCAATGAACTAGTAAAAGTCATAAGTTAGCATGACCCTAGGAGAACTGCAATTAACCAATCATGAACTCATAATACATAAAAAATTATATAGGATCCAATGCATATTTTGTTAGTTATTATTTCTCATAATTGCTGAAAGGGAGGATCCAATGAATTTAAAATATGGAAAAAAAAATTAGATACATACCACACAATTTTTATTTATTTACATATTTAACACCCAAAGTTTGATAATTACACTTGTAACTCTTTTGTGTCATAATGTGTGTATTTTCCCATTAGAAAGGTGTTGATTGTGTCATTTTTTATGTGATACTAAAGATTTGTGTGATATGGATGTAAATATGAATGTTTGGGGGTTGGATATGTTAATTGTGTGGTATGCATGTAAATACCCCTTTTCTAAAGTATTAATTAGATAAAATATTATACAATTGGTAATGCAATAGATTGGGTCTTCAAGTTGTCTCATGAATGAAAATGTTAACCTCAAATCGTGCCAAGTTGTCACATGAATCAGTAGTAATTTGGCCCAGGACTCGCAGCGAAGTTGTGAGGCTTTATTTAAAGAAATATTTAAATAACATATATTAAAAATATATTAAAATTTATCAGTCTAAATAAATGATTATAAAAATATTTTTTATATGCCGCCGATAAATTTTCAATATCCATCACGAATCTCGAAGCATGATACAGTTGTTGAAGCAGAGTATTTAACAAGAAATATTCAAACATTAATAAAAAACCATCTAAATGTCTGACTCCAACAAATCAAACTGATCGGTTTGATGAGATGACCCAAGCAACATAAAAATCAGTCCAATCTGAGTTGATATCAAGCTAATAAACCACTTTCAGAAACTTTTTCAGACATAATTGGATGACCGAATGGGTGTCAAATATGACATGCTTAAAGTCAAATTGAGCATCTCGGCGAGACAAATCCAACGAGTTTAATATCACTCAGTTTCAACATCATCAAGACAATCACATGTTTATCAAAAGACGTCTGATCAAGGGGTTCTCTCTCAGGGGTCTGACCAATAGTGGTTTAGATTCCTACCTTATTTGCAATCTAAACTCTATAGTATATAGAGCCCTAAGCACCTCCTGAGGAGGAGCTAGACCCAGAGACAGAGCGAGAAACGTTAGAGCCTGCATAAGAGGGAGCTGCAGCCCAGCCTCCTACGCCGTTGGTTTCCAGCCACAACCCTCTTCAGCAGTTGTTGTTGCCGTCTCAGATAGTCGCCATCTTCTGACTGCCTCCACTCTTTAGTCGCCGCCTCCTCAGACCACCTCCCCCTTTCAATTGTCGTCGTTTTAGCCCTACAACAACCGCAACCGTCATCCTCCGGCAGACGCCGCCGCTGCCTTCCGACCATCGCCAGCTTAGGTCATTGTAAACTTCTAGAAACCGCCACAGTCTTAGGCCACCTTCCCCGCTTTCAGCTGTCACCGCCCTGCGACCGCACATACTGGCTTTAAGCCCATATATTTTTTTGCTTTAGTTATGGATGGTCTTACTGGACATTTACAGGAGGATGTACCTTTCTGTATGCTTTTTGCTGATGATATCCTTTTCGTGGATGAGATGAGAGAAAAATCCAAGGAAAAACTTGAATTATGGAAGTTTAAATTGTAGCCTAAAGGCCTTGGTTTGAGTAGAACTAAAACATAATACATTGAATGTAATTTTAGTAGTAATAGTTCTAGTGACAGAAGTGTAGCTTTGGGTGATCAAATTATTAAAAAATGTGAACGATTTAAATATCTCGGCTCTGTTGTTCAAAGTGATGGTGATATAGATAGGAAAATTGATAGTAGAATTCAAGTTGGTTGGTTGAAGTGGATGAATGCTTCAGGCCTTTTGTGTGATAGAAAAGTACCACTTAGACTGAAAGGAAAGTTTTATAAGTGGGTGGTGACATCTGCAATGCTCTATGGCGCTGATTGTTGGCCTTTAAATGAGAAGCATAATACTAAGTTAAGTGTTGTCAAGATGAGAACGATTAGGTGGATGAGTGGCTATACACTTGGAGACAAAATGCGAAATGATTATATCCATGATAGGGTTGGTGCAGCCCCAATGACAGACAAAATTAGAGAAAATCGTCTTAGATGGTTTGGTCACATTAAACGTCGACCATCTGATGATCTAATCAGGAGAGTAGATGTTTTAGATTCGACTTATACTAAGAAAGGCATAGGTATAGCTAGGAAGACTTGAGCTTATTGTATAAAAAATAATCTTAATTTATTAAAACTAAATGAAAATATGACACTAAGTAGGCTGCAATGGAGAAAAAAGATTCATGTAGCCGACCCAACATAGTGGGATTAAGGCTTTGTTGTGGCCGTTGTTGTGTTCAAGTTAAATTCATAGCTAAATCTAGTTAAAATTGTGAGGTAAAGCAACAGAGAAGGTCTCATCTTTGAAACCAACTCTCTCTTCTGCCTCTGTGGAGATACGTTACACAGAAAGAGCGCTAATTTTAAATATTTTGAAAGTTTTGGGTGTTGAATATGTAAATATAAGATTTTGGGCGCTGGATATCTGAATTTAAAGTTTTAGGTGGTTAAATATGTAAAGAAGGAAGTTTTGAGTGCTACGTATAAAATTCCCACTATTTGATATGCACCAATCTATGCTAGTTTATCCATTTTATTTCCCAGCACTAGGGATGTCAAAACGGCTCGTTGTTCGCGAACAGCTCGTGTTCGGCTCGATTAGTTTCGTTCGATAAGTTAACGAGCCGAACACGAACTAAGATGTGTTCGTTCGCGTTCGGCTCGTTTTGGCTCGAAATACTACTCATCAAGTTAATATATATACAAGTAGTATTTTAAAAAAATCTAGTTGACTACAAGACTACAAAGATTTATAATCAATTAAAATAATGATTAAGAAAATAGAATAAAAATTATTAAATTAGATTCAAAAGATGTTTTAATATAAACAATAATTTTTAAATCTTGCTCAAACCCTTGTTGTCTTATAACTACATGATTATGATTGTTAAAAGGACTATTTGTTCGTGAACAGCTCGTGTTCGACTCGTTAAGCAAACGAGCCGAACACGAACACACTTTTTGAGCTCGAAACATAAACAAGCCGAACACGAGCTGGTGTTCGGCTCGTTTACACCCCTACCCAGCACGTGTCTATCTTGCTGAACTAAAAACAAAATATGCTATTCTTATAATTAATTCACGATCAGCATAAGATGCCATCTAATCATTAGTTATGCCATTGATACATAGAATTCCTAATGAATAAATTACAGAGATGCTTACATATATAGCCCCTGAAATACTATTAATTACAAAATCTACCACTCATGTGATATTTTTGAAACCGATGTATTTACTCGTGTCACCTTCAAACCATTAGAATTTGAGAGAACGAAAAATATAAGTTTGGAATTTCCCCTTAATTATATAATGTAATAATTCATGATTAGCTTAGCTCTCTTCTAATAATTAGTTATTTGCTTGAGACGAATACTAGCTAATAAAAATAAGGCTGTCAAAACGGCTCATTATTCGCGAACAGCTCGTGTTTGGCTCGTTCGCTAAGTTAACGAGCTAATACGAACAACATGAACAAATATTTGTTCGTTCGTGTTCGGCTCATTTTGACTCGAAATACTACTAATCAATTAT